TTCAAGATTCATCCATGTTTTAGTATGTATCAGAACAATTCTTTTTATGATTGACTAATATCCCATTGTATGTATAAACCACAATTTGTTTATCCATTCATGGATGGATATCTGAGTTGTTTCTATCTTTTGGTTATTGTGAATAATGCTGTAGTGAACACCGGTGTACAAATATCTGTTTGAATCCCTGTTTTCAATTCTTTTGGTATCTATCTAGGAGTGGAATTACTTGATCAAATGGTAATTCTAGGGTTAACTTTTTGAGAAGCTGACAAACCATTTCCACAGCAGTTACACCATTTTACATTCCGGGGTTCTAATTTCTCTCCATCTTCACCAACACTTTTTCTTTTAATTATAGGTTCTTTGGTTCTGGCCATTTCTGCTTTTGTGTGTGTGTGTGTGTGTGTGTGTGTGTGTGTGTGTGTGTTTTGCTTTGTTTTGTTTTTCTTAGGTGGAGGACTAGAACTTAAAGTAGCCTACTCCATCATTTTGCTAATGTGACCTTTCTGTACTCTTGTTTAAACATAGAACAGTCACCCCACTTATTTTTGATGGTACCAACTTTTTGTCTCCCATTCAAGTACTTACCAGGCCTAACCCTGCTTAGCTTCTGAGATCAGATGAGATCAGGCACTTTCAGAGTGGTATGGCTGTAGTCAGTGCTGACTTTTTGAAAAGAGATTTTGAAAAACCACTTGTATAGTAGAATGGCCTACAATCTGGATTTGACTGATTGTTTCCTCGTGGTGTTGTTTACCTTATTCCTCTATCTTCTAGGTTTCCTGCAATATTCAAGTTAAACATTTTGGTAATACTTTGAGGTGATGTTTGGTTCACAGTGTATCACCTCAGGTTTCCCTATTATTTGTGTGGCCAAATTTGAATTATGGCAGGCAGGTGGCTGCCTGCTATAATTTGGATGTTAGTTCCCTCAAACTTCATGTTGAAATTTGATCCCAGTGTTGAAGTTGGGGCCTCACGGGAAGTGTTTGGGTCATGGGGGTGGACCCCTCATGAATGGATTAATGCACTCCCTGGGGTGGGAGTGTGTATAAGTGAGTTCTTGCTCTATTAGCTCCTGAGAGAGGTGGTTATGAAAAAGAGAATGATACCTCCCTTCTCTCTCTTGCTTCCTCTCTCTCTATGTGATCTCTGCACACACTGGCTCCCCTTCATCTTCCACC